TCTCTCTCTCTCTCTCTCTCTCTCTCTCTCTTTATTCTCTCTCTCTCTCTTTCTTTCTTTCTATGGGCACTGGCAGGCACGGTTGAAACAGGTCGTCTCAAGAATTTTCTAAATAATAATTGTCAATGGTTGCGTAAAATTTCTACAATGAGCATATTTTATGCCTCTGACAGAAGAACTAATAGATCTATTTAAATTAGAACGAAGAAAAATTTTCAAATTTCCACCGATTTTGAATTGTCAAATTTCCGCCTGTGGGTCAGCTTCCCAACTCACCCTACTCCAAACATTTACTTACCTACTGCTTACTGATCCCATAATCAACGAGGATCGTGGGCGCTGTGTGATAGGGAGCCTCATCAGATGTCCCCAATTTTCCCGGTTTTTTGGGAGCACCTGAGTTTGGGAGAAGAATTTCTCTGTCCTTTCCGCAATGTTGTCAGTCCACCTCTTTCTTTGCCTTCCTCTTTCTCCTCCCCCTGCACAGTTCCCTGAAGAATGGTCTTGGACAGGCCACACGATCTTGTTACATGGCCATACCAATTCATTTTCCTTCTCTTCACAGTAGACAGCAAGTCTAAATAGTGACTCGTGTGTTGTTTCACTCTACTGCGTTCTTCCTAATTCGTTACTCCAAACACTGAGACCCGATAACTGTTTAGATCTACTCAAATTGGTGTCCTCTTTATACAGTGTAACCTTCCTAATGAGGGGGGGGTAGGTGGCTACCCCAGAATTACAAAGGAGAAATTTTACTTTAAAAAATATTTTGAGTTTCACAACATGTCAAGCTTCCTGAAATGCAGTTCTTTGAATATCTTGATAACGACTCCGAACAATCTTACGATTTAGAGAGAGCAGACAGAAGATAATTTGTTGGGGGTTTTTTTGGGTTTTTTTGGCTGAATGGTCTTAGTAACTCAAAACGACCAAAACTGCAAGATGGATCTTTGTAATTTTAAGGTAGCGAGGTTTCAAACCCAGGCTTTCTGTGTTGTAGAGAAAAACATTTTGTTTTGAGAACACAACCACTTACAGATTCATTTTAAAACAAACTTCCAAGTTTAAAAAAATGCATGTACACTTTAAGCGTACCATGTGCACTAAGATGCACTAATGATAATGATATGTAAATGCGCAGCTAAAAATTAACCAAACACACAACATACTCGTGGGCAGTGGCACACATAAAACCTATAAGCTGAAGCGCATATTATTGTATTACATGTAACACACTCTTGCAACAACGTATGTTATAATATAATAAACATTTCAAGACTTGGTAGAAATCCTGCAGACCAGCAAGCAAAAACACCATTCTCTCTCAGCCAAGAAAAATCTTCAGAAATACTACATAAAAAACTAGAAAACACACACAAAACACACACACACACACACACACACACACACACACACACACACACACACACACACACACACATGGACAAATAGAATGTGCAAACTCAAAAGTTATGCCCGCAAATCAAACTAGCAAGCTCCCCCCCTCTCTCTCTCTCTCTCTCTCTCTCTCACACACACACACACACACACACACACACACACACGCACACACACATAACATATACCTCTTACTCTGCTAATAAAAGACTGTTGCTCTTTAGCAGACCCGAGCTATAAAATGCATTTTAAAAAGAATCAATAATTAAGAAAACATAATAATTATTTATGAGATCAAAAATGTTCCATGAGGTACAAATCATAAAACAAACGTTTATACTGTTTGTTGAAAGGCACACGGTTGGATAAAAGGTATGATCTCAAGGCCCCTTTTAAAGTAAACAGGTGAACTTAGAGGAAAGACTTCTGATTTATCGTCCGCTTCTGATATTATGTCCTTACTCGATGTTCGAGATCCATGAAGCTTCCCGAACAATATAGGCTCAAAATACATTTATACGCTTGGAGACAAATTCAGAGATGGTCGAATCCCGATCTAAAACGAAACTAAGCTTTGTTAATGGCACACCTTGTTGGATATTTTAATTACTACATATCTGTGTTCTTCCCTGACCCAGAAATATGGCTCCAGAAACTGTCATCCGAATCATTGTAAAAGTAGGAGGGAAACCGTACCTTTTTGGAAAGATACACAATATTATCTTTTTTCAATATCAGGTACATAGCTTTGCTATCACACACAGGAAACTCAACTTCGATTCTCAAGTGGGAGAATAATAATTCTTATCGAGTACCTCAGTCTTTCTTCTCAGCTCTTGTATCCCTCTCTACCCGGATTGGCCCTGATAGGCAAAATTGAAGCCCGACTTCTAAATGATCTAAATTGTGTGAATTAAAAGAGGGGGTTGGGGGGGGGGGGACACTGAAAAAGAAAATAGTTTAAACGACCTGAGTGTGTGGTATGACAGTTGAGCCGTTCGTTTTGCACGCGTAAGATGTTACGAAGATGCTTTTGTTGGGCAGAACTTTCTCAATGTATTTATTTCGCCTTTCTGCTGATACAGCGAACCCTACCCTGTTTAAAACGACCTGAATTGGGCCAAAGGGGGGCGTAAATATTCACGACCGTAACACAATGCCACAACTATTCCAGAAGCGAAGCGGTTCCCAGCAATTACAAGGAGTAAAACTACGACAGACTGACTTCTTACCCCTCC